ATTTATAGCAAACTATGTACAACTAAGCGTTATACGGCTTCAGAATAACGAATCTGACTTAGCAAATAAGATATCTGACTTAGCTGCATATCTTCGTGAAGTAAATGGATGGCCTGACGATTCGACGCCGATTAGTGTACTCGTTGCTAAAGATCCCGTGTCAACGTCAAGGTTTCTTGATAACAAATTCAAAGCGTTCCTTGATTTTATTTGTTCCAAAGATAATCTGATCGGAAAAGTGGCGCATTATTTCTGGCGACGAGAATACCAAGGTAGAGGTATACAACATTTTCATTTATTAATTTGGATTGAAGGTGCGCCAATTATCGGGAAATCTTCTGTTGAAAAAGTTTCTCAATTTATTTTGCAACACATAACTTGTGAAATGCCAGATCTAAAGATTTCACCATTGTTATACAGGCGAGTCAACACGCATCAACGACACAAACATAACGATTATTGTCTTCGTTCTAAAAAAGTAGAACGCAAAACGATTCGTGTGTGTCGTTTCGGGTTTCCTCGTCCTGTCACGGAAACGTTGATTTTGAAAGATGTCATAAGTTCGATAGCAGGTAGAAAACGATTGAAACATAGAAGTAGGCTTTATCATATGTTCCTCGAAAACATGATGAGATCAATATAAATGATTATCATCCTGTTCTTCTTACGGTATTAAAAGGAAATGTCGATAACAATACGTAAGTGAAACATCCACGTTGCTTACTTGGTATATTACAAAGTACGTGAATAAACCAGGAAAATGTGAAATATCTGATGCTGTCCTTGATAGTAAAAATAAGACAAAGAAATCATTGCGTCAAGAACTTTGGAATTTTACTTTGCGAGCCACGAGTAATAGGGAATGTGGATCTCTTGAAGCCTGTGATGGAATGTGTGGTATTCCTTTATGGGGGACTGATTCAAAAACGACTATAAAATGGTTAGATGTTAATCAGATACGACGTAGAAAAGTTAAAACTTATAAGGAAATTGAAGCTCTTGACGGAGATTCTACAAATATATTTTGTCCATCTGTAATAGATGAACATTATCCACGAAGACCGAAAGAATTGGAATCTATGTTTTTATATGAGTTTGTACAGTGGTATGATATTTTGAAAAATAAACCACGAGGTAAAAATATTGAATACTACACGATGGAGAATGGTTATTATCTAAAACGGCGACAGCGTGGATGTCTTATTAATCACTATAAATATAATGTCTATACGCAGCCGGAAAATTATTTCTTTTCATTACTGCTCATGTTTAAACCGTGGCGGAAAATAGAAGATCTTAAAGACGGATGTGATACATATACAGAAGCATTTCACAAGGGAAAGTTATATCTTACGGAAGCATTGCAATATCATAAAAAATTAGAGGAAGTGCAAAAAGCATTTGAAACTGCGAAGCAATTAGTTGAACAATATTTAGATAATTTGGAAAAACAGCATGAGTCTTAAGATGATCCCGATAATCCAATAGGTGTTCAAAATATTGAGGCTGGTGAAGCGATGCAAGATTTTAAGGATCTTGGTGAAAAATTAGTTCAGGAAATCGATGTATCTGAAATGATTTCAAATCTGAACGCAGATCAAAGAAGAGTATTTGACGATGTGATCAACACCGTAACATCGCCAGATAATAAACAATTACTAAAATACGTTAGTGGAGAAGGAGGTACTGGCAAAAGTTTCTTAATTAAAACAATTAAATGCTGGATAAAACAAAATCTCCACAAGGATACTGCTGTAACAGCACCTACTGGTATAGCGGCGTATAATATAGGTGTTTTATTAACAAATCACAGGCAATGGCAGTTACCTGTTGAACATGGTGATCAGTCTCCTAAGTATACACCGTTATCTGATCACGTTTTGAAAGTTTTACGGGCAGATCTTAAAGATGTTATTCTTATTATAATTGATGAAGTGTCAATGATATCTAATTTAACTTTTATGTATATGCATTTACGACTATGTCAAATATTTGATACCATGAATGACGATTTCTTTGGTGGAAAACATGTTCTTTTATTTGGAGATCTGCTTCAATTACCTCCTGTACGTGAAAATTTTATCTTTGTTCCACTATCAAAAGCAGAATTTGATAAATATATTGGCAGTGTGGGGACTACTCCTGAGGAATGATTGTGGCAAAAATTTCAATATGATGAATTGACGATCAATATGCGTCAGCAAGGAGATACAGCTTATCGTGAATTACTCTCGAGAGTTCGTGTTGGTTTATTGACAACTTCTGATTCTGAGATTCTCGAGAAAAGAAGAATATCATTGAAAGGTCAGTCTTTCGATAAAAGATTATACGAATTGTGTAATTTTCTTGATAATTTGCCGCCTAACACTGTTTGTTTACTGCCTACTCGTCATTTGTGCGATGTTCTTAACACTGCAATGCTAAGTCGTATTGGTTCGAAAGAAATATTGTTAATTGCTGAAGATACGCTTGACTGTGATAATTATATTAAACGAAAGGTACAAAAGCGATTGACGGATAATGAAAACGATGATACTAATACAGCTGGGCTTTTGAAACAAATTACAATTAAAATTGGAGCGAAAGTTATGATAAGACGCAATATTGATGTCACTTTGGGCCTCGTAAATGGTACAATTGCTACAGTTATTTTTGTTGTGCGGGATATATCTACCGATCGTGTAGAAAAGATTAAACTTCTTTTACCGTCTGGTTTGGAGTATTGTATTGAAAGAGTAAGTGTCAAGTTTAAAGTAATGGAGAAAGCATATGTTTTCCCATAACTGTCAGTTATGGCATAACTGTTCATAAAAGTCAAGGATTAACCTTGCAAAACGCTGTTATGGATAATAGGTAATTCTATATTTAGTTGTGCTCAGGCATATGTTGCGTTATCCCGAGTACCGTCTCTGGATGGATTGTATTTAATTAACTTGGATCCTTCATCTGTAACGGCAAGTGAAAAAGCTATTGGCGAAATAAATCGATTAATACGAACATTTCGACCGCAAGCACAAACGATTCCTATTTCAAAAAAACGTTTTCGAAAAGTAAAAGATGTTCCGTGGACATTGTCGAAAATAATCAATGCCGGTCAAGAGTCAGACCAACAAGCTGGAAAAAGTACTGCTGATACCTGCTTTGCAAAATAAAGATAGAGTTTCATGCTACGCAAATTCAGTAATACAATGTTTCTTGCAGTCAAGTATTATTAGAAAAGTGTTGTTTAAAATTGATAAAGATGATTTAAGTATATTAGCGCATAAATATGACAAACGATTACCTAATTTGAATGCTGATGCGATACGGACAGATTTAGGAGAGCGCTTTACGAGTCGTGGTGATGAAAAACCGGCAAAACGAGACGCTCTTGAATTTCTTATTGCCATTTGCACAAAATATAATTACATAAGAAATTTGGTCGGGCATCAAGTTACTCGTACTACTAAGTGCATTAGCAACTCATGTGGTTATACGGCAAAAGATAATATTATTGATAACATAATTGTTCCAATTTCTATTAATAATTTGAAGAAGAAAAGTTATAATCTTAATAATTTATTGAAGGATACATTTTTAAATTGGGGTCCGTTATATAGAAAAACATGCCAATTTTGTGCAGGAAATCTAGTATTTAGAAATGAATTAACGTTGACGAAAGAAATAGTTATCATTCATTTAATTTTGTTCTCGTCACAGGATAATAAATTAGTGAAAATACCACAGACATTTAATTTAACTGGCATATCAACAACTAAGATATCGATAGCTAAACAGCAGTATAAAGTAATGAATACTATATTTCATCAGGGTACATCTATTGAAGATGGTCATTATACAAGTATGTGTAGAGAAAGGACATTTTGGATTGAATTTGATGATGAAAAAATTATAGAAAATAAACGATGGCCTACAGGTGCTAAAGGTATTTATATATTATTTTTGGAAAAAGTTGGTAAGAAATAATTTATACAAGCAACGTAATATAGATGCATATTTTACACAAAATCAATGTCCGGCAATGTATATATATATATATATATATACATTGCCGGAAGAAATGTGTCTGAAGTTGTTAATATATATATATATATATATTAACAACTTCAGACACATTTCTTTATAAGGTGTAATTTTTTTCTGTCAAGATTAAAATGCGTAACACTACAAAAAAGCGTGATATCCGTACAAAATTACCGTTTTCAAAAAAAGGTAAAAAAATGCGCCAAGTACACGCATAGTAGTATATATGTATTATGTTGTTACCTCAAAAAAAACAAAGTGGTAGTATTATACCTCGAAATAACACCCTGTACATACTGTTTATACAATGCGTAATATTACAAAAAGGCGTGATATCTGTACAAAATTACCTTTTTTAAAAAAAAGGTAAAGAAAGGCGCCAAGTACACGCATAGTAGTGTATATATTGTTACCTCGAAAAAAAAACAGTGGTAGTATTATATCTAAAAAAATCTAAGTAACAAGTAGTTGTATTTCGAAAAATCTCGAAAAAACCTAAGCAGTAGTATCTTTACCTCGAAAAAATCGAAGTAACAAGTGGTAGACGTAATCTTTGTATCTCGAAAAAAACTAAACAGTAGTATTTTTATTTCCAAATATGTCGTTACCTCGAAAAAAAAACAGTGGTGTAGTATTATACCTAAAAAAAATCTAAGTAACAAGTGGTAGACGTAATCTTTGTATCTTGAAAAATCTCGAAAAAACCTAAACAGTAGTATTTTTATTTCCAAAAAATTATTACTCAAGTGATACACATCACAAAATTACGTTACCTTATCAAAAATGAGTCGCGCTTCAAGTGATCTATTATTACAATTAATTATTACAAAAAAGA